TTTTAAATTGTGCACATACATACACACATTCATACTTATTATTTATTTTAATTTAAATGATATTTTTAATGAAATTTATCAAAAAAAAAAAATATATAAAGAGAGAAAATTAAATATGCAATTTTAAAATATTTAGAGCGATAAGTACTCGGTTAAAAGTGGAAAAAAAATTTTTTTAGTCAAAAAAAAATTTAATAAAAAAAAATAATTAATTGACACATAAATTATACTTCAACCAGTTGTTGTAATACAAAATAAATTGTATATGTACTTTCAAATAAATTTTTAATTTAAGAACTTTCATACAGGCATACTTCCATTAAATAAGTAGACTCATTTTGAAAATTTATGTAAAAATAATTCAAAGAAATACGTGCGAGTGTAATGTGGGAAGGTATGTAAATAAACGCATAATAAATTAAAAAATAAAATTTATTTAAAAATTACGAATTAAATACAAGAACTTTTATGTTTTTTTTTCTAGAGCTATTGTAGTTGTTTCTACATAATTTCAAATGCTACAAAAGAACTTAAAGCAGGAATTAATTTTGATATGTTGTATACACAAATTTGTTCACCTTACTGTTAGCAACAGAATATTTATGTCAAATACGAATTTGGAGCTTATAATATTGGCAATATACAGATTATGACGCTGTCATACAACAATAATTGAATTTTTTGTTTTGTAATTGGAATGATACTGAACATGAAAATTCGACCGTCATTCAAATCATCATGTTTAATATGATCAATTTTGATTACAATCGCAACTATACACTAATTGCATTTGAGATATAATAGAGCTGATCTCAGCACACTGGTTGGAGTTCTGACGGGGCATTGCTTTCTGGGGAAAATGGGCAGGAGGCTTGAGATTGCTATGACGGATGTATGTCGTGGGTGTCGGGATGTGGCGGAGGTGGAGGATGTAGAGCATGTCCTCTGTGCCTGTCCGTTTCTGATGTGGAAGAGAAGGCGTGTCTTGGGGGCTTATTTTTATGATAACCTGGGGGACCTTTCCGAGATGTCTCTTGCGCGGCTTTTGGGCTTCGCTAGGGAGGTTGGCTGGTTTGGATAGGGGGGGTCTTGTGTGTCGAACTGCATGGGGGTTGTTGGGTGTTTTCTGGGGGTTGCCGATGGGCCTTTTTCTGTTGGCCTAGTGCATGGGCTTTGCGCGGGTGTACGGGTGGAGCGCCCCCTCTTACTACTACTACTACTATACACTAATTGAATTAGCCAGGATTACGTGAAGCCAAAGTCATTATGATTTATTTTTAATAAACTAACCATCAGTTAATAATTTGGATCTGGAGTACAATAGAGTCCAAGTTGCTGACGACTTGCAGTCAGGAATGATCAAAAAAATTACAAAAATTAAATACGCGGATTATTCAATAATAAGAATCACATTGGTCATATGTACCGTAATTTTTTTAAATGTTCTAGCTATCTTTCGATGTATTGATACAGATACTAACGTTTTCTCTTTTTAGCTAATTTTAAATTGTTCTCCATCAATTCAACCGCCTTGTATTGCGTGGAAATGATTGATTCACTCTTGAGTTCGAATTATTTGGTATAGTTCAACTTATATAGTAATTTTTGGAATTAAGTATAATTTAAGTTTAGGTTGATTTTCGCTATATATTTCAGGGAGTAGATACTCAAAAAAAAATTTTTGTAACATAACAATTAAATTTATGCTTTTTCTCTGTTAATGATGCTTAATTAATTTTTTTTTTAAATGCTTATTATATAACACTCATTACTGGATATCTGAAAAAATTATTCTTTATTTATATATATAAAACATACACATAAATTAATTTACATATTTATTGTGTTATTGCTATTAACATAATTATTTTTTTAAATAATTAAATTAACAATTTCAATTAATTTATTTTAAGAGGTCAATTGATTTTTGTATTACAAACAATAGGTGAAAGTGTATTATATATAAATTATATATGTATACATAAATGTATATCATGTATATATATGTTAATAATAACATATTTTATAAAGAAATTTTTTAACAATATTTTCAAACATAACTAGATATACATATTAATTTTTAATCGAATTTTGAAATTAAATTACAAAAAACTTATGAATGTTAAATAATATCGAAATTAATGATAATTTTAAACATAATGAAGCAATTAAATTTTTTAAATTAAAGTATTTTTTTTTTTAAATCGGAAATAAATTGTTTAAATAAATAAAATTATTACTTAATTTTGGATTCAATTTCTAGGCTAGATTTCAGTTAAAATTGAAAATCAAATAAATTTATAAATTTTTTAAAATAGAATGCTTCTTAAAGTACGACCAAAAGTAAAAATAAACTTCTTGTGAGGGTCTATTTTCTAGTACATAATTTACCCTACAATTTGCTCAGAGACCATAAAATAATTAAGTTGAGATATATAAGGCAGTTACAACACCGAAAGATGAACAACATTAGCGAGAAAAATATTTTAATATCGCTAAAATTTTTGTATGAACTAAAATTAATGCTCAAATGGTCTTTTGCTAACAATATTTAGATATACTCTCAAGTTGCCCATAGAAAGTATATCAGACTTACAATGAGTTGCCCATTAGAAAGCTTAGACTAATATTAGACTTATCAATATTCATTTTGTAAGAGCGACATTAATCTCGTTTTATTTAGACTGAGACTCTCCATATATTGCATACTCTATAAATTAGTCAATCGCTCAATTATAATAATTATTTGATATAATATAAAGACTATTAGACGGCATCGATCCTTAAACCGAAACGTTTCTGTTTCATACCCCGGTCCGAGCGCATATGAAAATTATATTTCATATTATTAAATACGAAAAAACAAAGTTAATATAAAAGTGATTACCCATATATCCACAATATTCGATATTGAAGCACCAACAAACATAAACAATAATATCAATAATCTTCAATATTTTTTTTATGTGAAGAAAAGCGGCAGGCTAGTCGCCACCCGTTTAATTAACTCAAAGGCTTATAAAACTGAAGCATGACTATAAATCAAAATGAAGGCCCTAACACTCCTTAGTGGAGTAAGGAATATAAAATTTTTATAAGTACTTATAATAAGATATTTTCAATATAAATTAAATATGATTTTAAATTATTAAAATTTTTCAGTAAATTTATTTTAACCTTCGTAAAATGAATATTTAAAATCAATTTTAATCAATTATACATTCATATTGTTAAAAATAGCATAAAAAAATATTTGGTCGGATTTATTTTTGTAAATAAAATTTATTAAATTATTAATAAATTTAGAACTACATTTAATTAAATTAAAAAAAAAAACTTTATATAGTAAATTTTTTTATTAATTTCAATAATCCCATTTTTTCATTTGACTTATCGTGAATTATTAAAAAATATATTTTTTTGTTAAATTTTATTTTTGTAATAATTTTAATAATTTATTTATTTTTATTTTTTATGTCACATAATGTACACAAATGAAAACATCGCCAACAGTGTATAGCATACAATATATTAGCGAGTATGTTTTTACACTGCATAATTCCATATAATATTAATAATGTAATTGTAAATTATTATTTAATTTTCATTTATTATTTATACATAAATTTTTCTTCTTTTATCTATATTCATTAGCTTTATTATTATTTGTTTTCAGCTGAAATTAATTTAAATATTTATTTTCTTTTATTTATTTATTTATTTTGTATATAAGTATAACAGATCATTTTTATTGTATTATTAATAACTTAATTATATTATTTATGAAAATCAATTGAATATAGCTATATATTTTATTTATTTTATTTGTTATTTACAAACACTTATTATGTACATATCATATAATATACATTTTTATATATATATTTTTTTTTAAATATTTATAATCACAATTTATATACAAATACAATATTACTTATATTAATATATTATAATTATATTCTATAATAATAATTTAATTTAATTAAATTGATAAACAGTATTATCTAAATTTATTTTTACATGTACATATATATTTTCCATTTTATTTATTTATTTATTCATTATATTTATTTGTATAATATTAATTATGTATACATTTTTATTATATACACCATGTACTTATTTCTATATTATTTCAAGTAATTTTTTATTATTTTATATTATTTCATTACACATATTATTATTATTATTATTAGCTATAGTAGATTAAATTTAATTTTTATTTTTGTTTAATAAATTATTTTTAATCATTTTAATATAATAATGATGATGATATACAATAATGATAATAATGTTGATTATGAACTAGAAATGTCATTATAATAATTATTGCATCAAAAACAAAAAAAGAAATATATAAAAATAGTTTTTTAAAAGAAAAATAACAAAAAAATAATGTTATACACACACGTAATGTATAACGTATAACGTAAATATAATATAGTAATTAATTGTAAAACCGACAGAATAAATAAAATGTCATCTATTATTACAATATGTGCATATTAAAAATGTATACAACATATGCAATTATTTCTATATTTTACCTACATAATACACATTTTACAAATTTTTAAAATCCCGTTAAAATTGCGCCGTTTTATAAATAAAATTATTTTTTTCATAATGACCTGAAACGGATGCCAAGAAAAAAACCAAAAAAAAAACTCATGAAACGAAAACTGTATGAAAAAATCTCGACGACAACATCAAAACATACAATTATAAAAATTAGAAAAACAAAAAATCTAAGTGAATTTGCATTAAAAGTGCAAAATGTGCTTATAACACAAAAAAAAATTAGGTTTTATATTTTAATTTTTTAGTTCAACTGCCTTTAAAATGCCCTAGAATTAATGAAACAATGTGATAAAGAAATATGTAGGTCTCAAAATATAAAATAAAAGCCCTAATTTTAAAATATTTCAAAAACAAAATTTTTTACAAATGAGTACGAAATTATTTTTTTTTTGGTTTTACTGTTGTAAACATAACGGCACCTTTATTATTTCATTTTGTTTATTTTTATTTTAATTTTTTTTTTTAACACAATTTTCTTACTTTTTTTATCTCTTCTTATTTTTTTCTCAATATTTCACTTTCGAGTAAATCAAATATTTTGTAAATTCAATTTTGTTATTAAACTTCACTTTATAATACATTTTTCTTTTTTTTGCAATAATAAATTTTTAAATAATTAATTCTTTAACTTCATTTTAATTAATTTATTTAATTTACTCTCATATATTATATATTTACTTTACAATAATTAACTTAAAAAAATAAAATAATAATGATAATTTAGAGCACAAACACACTACACTATAATAAATATTATAATAATTATGTATTTTTTATTATTGAAACAATTAGAAATTAAACGGTAATATTAACGGTGGCACGTAATATCGCGACATCGTCATTTTTTGAACTAAATCTCTACATAATATTATTATCGCATGCACCCAGCAGCACCAAGGATTATATGAAACAAAATGGAATTATTTGAAACATTTTGTTTTTGCATTTTTTTTTTTCAATTATGAACATTGAAAATGAAACAACCAAGAAGTATATAGGAATTTAAAAAGAACACATACACATTGTGAGTATGTGCGTATAATAAGTATAATAATAATTGTATTTGGATGTGAATCTAAAATATTATACCGTTTTTAATTTAATTCATATACAATATACAGTTATTTTCGAAAATACACAGAAGAAAATAATAACAAATACAAAATTGTTAAAAGAAGAAATGAAACAAAAAAAATGTTTCGAAGAAAAACGAAACGAAATGAATTTTGAAACGAAACATTTCCCCTTTTTGTTATCTTGTACACAAACTCTATTTTAATAAATAGGGGATGCTAACAATTTTACACTGTACTACATGAATAGAATCTGATTTTTACTTTACAGATTCAACGAAAGAGGGATAAATGTTTGTTTTTTCTTCACTTTTAAATTTTTTTTTTTTTTTTAAGATTTTTTCTTTTTTTATTGTTCTGTGATATTTTATTTTTTTTTTAAATTTTAAATATTTATGGTATACATATTTTTTTTTTTTTCGAAAACATATGATTTTTCAAAGAGTCACCACATGTTATTTTTGTATTGTTTTATTTTTTACAGAAATTTTATTTAACATGGTATTTTAATTCAAAGACTATAGGTACATAAAAATAACAATAGTGTGTTTATTTTGTAAATATATATATTTTTTATTGTATGTATATATGTGGGTATGTATTATCTGATATTATGGTAATATGGCAAGCAAGATCTTATTTACTTATTATATAGAAAATAAGAATACCAAAAAATAGGTATATAAGGAGTATTTTTTATGTTTCTTGAGAAATAAATTATGATAGAGTCAAATTAATTTTATAAAAATAAAATTTGTGCTGTACCAATGCAAAATATTGTATAGGTATTTTAAAGGACCAACATGCAGCAATTTTACGTGAATATTGTAGAAAACTAATTATACGAAATTATAAGAGAAATCTGCTTAACACTTTAAAATACTCGTATTTGAGACAAACAAAATGTATGCATGTTCTATAATAAATATCAAAAATTATTTTATGAATAATTTACATTGACCATAATTTGTAATTATAACAATATGGGAAAATTTTCCTATTTCATTCTTTAATATAATCCCATTGCTTTTAATTAAGGACCATATTATGTACATACTTTATTTATTATTTAAATTTAATTTCCAATTGGTATAGGATGGTAAAAATGTGTGACTTAATATTCCAACAAAAACGATGACAAATGAGGTTGTCATGGGAAGAGAAGAAAAATTATTATTCCAACACAACAACATTATTATTTCTCAATTTTATTAGATTACTCAATTTTAATAATTAATTTCAAATTTACGAAGAAATACAAGATTATACATAATATACAAGCAATAATACTATTATGTTAAAATAATAAGAAATGATAATGAATGCACAATTGAGCATAATAATAATAATAATGTTTTTAGGAAAATTGATTGAATCTGACAATTAAATAAAATATGAAAAATAAAAAAAAATATGTAAAAGAGGAAGCAATAAGTATAAAGCTTAAAAATAAAATTAAAATTAAAAAAAAAAAAAAAATTAATTTTTTTTTACGAGAAAAACATATGCCCGCATATTGGGACCATAAAAGTGATCGGGGGAAAATTTTTTTTTTTTTCCCTTTGGTCGTCTGTTTGAAATTTTTATGTTCTTAATTCTTATTATTCATTTCCCGTCCCTTTATTTTATTTTTTTTGGAAAATGATTTTTTATGATTGGTGATGGCTTGATTATTATACAAGATAAAAAAAATAATTTCAAAAAAGTATGCACACACAATGATCAAAAATTCATATTAATTAATTTAATTTTCCATTGATGGTACTTGCAATATGTACGCAATTGTATGTAGAACGCACGTGATATTATTAAATATAACATATGGGTACTCTTAAACATTCATTTAGTTATACAATTTTCTTTATTTAATTTCTTAAATTAAAAAGGAAGGGGTTATATTTTTTTCTTCATAAAATAAATTTTTCGGTATACAACATAAAATTTTCTTCCGGAAATTTTTTTTCGGATGCCTTTTTAATTTTTCCTATTTAACAAGAATAATATTAATTTTATTATTGTATACATAATGTAGTGAAATTGAACAAAGATCTATAATGTTGAAATTAACATGGAAAATTTAACACTAAACAGGTAAATTGCTTGCAATTCCTGCACGAAAAATTCAAAAGTATCAATCGAAATCAGATTATTTAATAAAAAATATTGATAACTTAAAAAAAATTAGCGAAACTTAAATTCTACAATGTTCCAATCATGCTCCAATACATAGTAAGCATCTTAAACTCTAACATTATCTACATTATTAAACGTTGATCCAATTTTTGTTGTATATGCGACGATAACTTCGCCAATAATCTAAATCATGAACTTAAATCTAAACAGGCAGCTTACAATACGTATAATTTAAAAAAAAATATCCATAGTTGTAATGAATCCATAATTTATTTTTAGTCCTTAAAACCATAATTTTGGATTTTATTCTATTATTCTTTTTTGTTAACCTTAAACAAAAAAAAAAAATTTAGATTTATAAATAGAATTTTAAATTTAAATTACTTACTTATTTCAATTTCATTTGATGTTTTGAATCCAAAGATAAATCCACAGAAAAATCCAAAGATACAAAATTCACTCGTACTATCTATGAATACCCAAATTATGTATACATCTGCGCAATATGATATATGTTTTCTGCCATATATGGTTTAAAATTGATATTTGAAATTTTCATATTATTATTGTTGTTGTTGTAAGATTTTAAATTAGAATAGCGGTACTATTTAAAAAATTCTTTTGAATTTTTTAAATAAAAAAAAAAAAAAACAAACAACCTTAATAATCTCTTAAATTAAATATAAACATAAGAATAGGGAACCGGGTCGTATATAAAAAAACAAAAACCAAAAAATGCATAAGAATGAAAAAAAAAATTAAAAGGCTATGACACTAATGTAATTTGAAATCAACATAAATGGTTTTGTAATGCTGTACAATGTCATTGTTAATATGTTTTGATATGAGGCCAGAAACACACATGCATGCACGCATAGCAATATTGTTTAGCGTACATTTATAAATATTTACGAGAGTACCTTATTTTGAAATATTAAACCCGCTTGAGTAACAAATCCATCAAAATGTCTCCTTTTTTTTTTATTTTTAATATTTTTTATAATTCGATTAGAGTGCAGTTGAATATTTAGCGTATGCATAATGAATTCTTTTGATATTAGAATATAGAGCGTGTTGTAGACTGTTAAATGGAATGCAAGTCTACAAGATTTTAAATTATTAGGAATGACGTAAGAAAATTAAAAATTACACGTAACGGAATTAATCTTATTTTCTATTACTTAAGAAATAAAAATAGTCTTTAATACGGCAAATTTAATTTAGCTGCAGAGCAGTTATTTAGATTTTATTCTTGAGTTTTTAAGTGTCTATTAGAGCTCTGTCCGTACATACTGGCGACAAGTTGAAAACGCTTTGAACTTAATAATTTATTAACTTTGGGAAATTAAATAAATAAGTTTATCAAACGCAAGAGCCGTGGCACTGATTCTTACAATTTTAAAAATAATTTTAAATTAACATAGCCGGAAGTAACAGCATACTATGCTGCAGAGCATAGCATAAAGAAATAGGAGTAACTTTTCATAGAGAGCAGTTGGCATTGCATAAGGATTTATCAAAAGGTCATGAATCTCAAATTTTTACCCTACAGGTACTCATCGTATTGGGGAAATATAGAGTTTAAAGCATTCGGGCACATTGTGTCCTCCTCTGAGTGCGGAACATTTCATTTAACATCCTCCTGATAGCTTCGAGCACCCTGTGAGGTTCACGAGCGAGAATACACACTCTCCCAGATATTGTGCACCTACTCAGATCTCCTAATGAGTCTTGCAGAATCTTCGAGTGTCCACTTTGCAAGATCAGCCTACTGAGGTGCACCTAGGTCTGCCGTACCTCAACAATTGAGAATTTGCACTCGACTTCACACAACAATCTCTTACGCAAACTTCCTTAATCGCTTCTGGCCATAGTCTCGCAGAAACTCTTTTGGCAGCCGCAACCCTGAGTGACTTCCCTTGCGCTTTGCACGCTTCTCTTTGATTCCTTTTTTAGTTACCAGTGAACAGTATGGAAATCAGCTACCTCATTTGCTTCTACTCCCACAAGACTTTCACTTCCAGCACAGAATTACGCAGATGCACTTACTTAATTCATTGAGCTTCTCACAACAGCACCACACTGCCGCAAATAAGGTAAACAAAATTTTTAACTCTCAAAATAAGTTAAATTATTTGAGACCATGCGATAGTTTTTAAGTACCGCACACTTTGACCCAACTTTTTACTTCATTATTCCGTTCTGCTCATAAGTAAAAATAAATATTGTAATTATTACTACGGAACTTATTTTTAGCGTAAAAAAATCTTTTTAAAGACGCACTCATAAACCACGGATAGAAGGTTCATAATTTAAAAAAATATTATACGAGTATGCATATTGTGTGCATAAATTTGTATCTTTTGAAATTATTTACGTCTGCGGGTCTAGATAATATATAGGGTACTTCAGGGAGTTGAAAATTTTTCTTCATTGTAATGATTCATGAGTTTAACAAATAGTTTCTCAATATTTTATCTGAAAAAAAATCAAAAAATAATTAGTAACAATATTGCGTTACTCATATACAACTCTAAGACTTTTGAGACTATCGTTTAACCGAGTTTTGAAAAATTATATAAATTCTGTAGTGAAAAGAAAAAACAACTTAATATATTATA